GGCGTGGGGGCACTCCAGCTGTGACCGCCATGCTGTGGAGGGTGGCTGTGTGGGGACACTATAGCTGTGACCACATGTCGTGGAGGGCGGCTGCGTTGGGGGGAGCTATGGGTCTATGCGTAGATCCATTTGCTAGTTCGTTTATTTAGTCTGGTTGGGTACAGAAAACACACACACATGTAACAGGTTAAAATATCCAAATAAAATTTACTGCAACTTGTGTAGAATTAAATTTGTGCTACAAGACATGTTGCATAGGAAACTATTCAAAGCCCCTGAGGAAAAGATCCATGTTTTTTAAGGTGCAAGTGGTTTTGTTTGCTTCTTTGGGGAAAGGTGAGCGAAGACCTCTGGGAGAAATGACAGGATTGAGAAGTAGAATTTAAGGTTAGTTTGTGTGATGATTGGGAACTGGGTCCTGGTTTCTGCAGCATGAAGTATCTGTTACTTGTGGTTCTGTCTGTTTAGAGTCTGTCGGTCTTTAGTATCTGACTCAGTAGCTAAGAGCGGCGTTTCAGTCTGAGAAGGATTGTCCACGATCACGCTGGGTAATCACCACGTCTCAACGAAGCAGCGGCAGAGAATGTGGCCCGACACCGATCGCATGATTGCAGCGTGTCCCGGCCCACGCAGGGCCGCCCCCCCAGTGAGCTGCCAGCTGCCAGGCCTGCCGCTGTTTCCTCCAGACGCACACCGCAGTGGCTCACAGGGTGTGACACGGCGGCCACGCAGGCCCTCGCGGCGACGCGCACAACTCTTCACTGGGAACCGCCTTTGTGCCGGAAGCATTTCCATTTTTAGAAAACATCCCCTGCTCAGAGGACCTTCACATTGTACGAAAAACGGCTTCCCATTTGTCTGTGTCGAAGGAGCCAGGGTCCACTCGGGCAGGAGTGGGGTTACGTCTCAAGTCAAATGAAACATAGTTTGGCACCTCTGCACGTTGCACGTGAGACCCACTAGGGTCTCTGCAATGGGCCCAGGAGGAGCTGGGCTGCCACCCTCTGGTTCCGTGGCCACCTTTTCCTGTCCACGGAAGGGGCAGTGAGCTCCACAGGGGCACCCCGCTGGCCCTAGGGGGTGCACAGCTGCAGAGCCCACCTCACCGGTGACCTTGTCCTTCTGAACGACTAAGCACACGCGGGTGGGCCACGAACAGTGTCACCTCCAGCTGCTCACTGCCAAGGGGCCCTTCTGCCCACTGCCCTCCAAGGTTTCCGTGTTCTCACGTGAGCATTTACTGCAGAACGGGGTGAAGCTGTGCAGATGGCAAGAGGACACAGGGCCGGGGAGTCTCAGAATGGGCGTTTGCTGGAAAACCACCTTTTCCATCCGAGCTACGTTTTCCCAAGTAGAGAGTGGAAAAGGTCCCACACTCGGACAGGCGTCTTTCTGTGCTGAGAGTTAATGCAAACTACGAAGCCAGAAATGCCCCAGGCACCTTTAAATACCTATATACATCTGTGACATAATTTAAAAAGGTCTTCGAATAACATAAAAACCTCAACAGCATCTGCCCCATCAAGTTTTTTTTTATCTTAATGATCCATTAAAAAATTAGATACCACCTTTCTCATGTCCCATCCCCATTCTTTTAAAAAAGTGATTTTTAAATTTAAATTTACACTCCGCAAATAGAAAGCTCTTCCACAAGGGCAACGACCACAGTAGGAAGCCCCCTCAGGCCCCTCACTATGGAGAACGGCAGGCCTTGCGTGTACTTGTCCTGGGCGCAGGGCCGACTGGCGAGTCCAGGCTCTGTCTGAGCAGCCACCCCTCTCCCCTCCCCAGCTCCTCGGTGACAGCGGACGAAGGCGGGAGGGGACCCGTTCAAATCACAAAGTCGTCATGGTCGGCAGGGCTGAAGGCGGCCGCTCTCAGAACGTCCAGGGAGTTGACGAGGATCAGGGTCCCCGTGAGGTGCTTCCAGCGCTTGGTGATGGGGTTCTTCATCTTGTCCAGGCCTGTGTGCAGCTCCTGGATGACGTCCCGGTAGCTGTCTCCGATCTGGTGGCTCCAAGTGAGCAGGAAGTCATAGGCAGGCTTCCACATGGCCTGGGTCGAGGGCAGAAGAAATAGGAGGGAAAGAAACGGAGACGGTGAGACCTGTTCCTGTCACCCGACCGTCCTTATTGGTGACACTCCATTCAGAGTGAAAGGGGCCTTGGGAAAGCAGGGGACGGTCTCCGGCCAGGGCCAGCGCATTGCAGAGGGAGGGGCAGTACTTCCGGGGACATGCGGTGCGCGGCAAACGGGATCTAAGTAACAGGTTTCTCTCCTCCCACATCTGCGGCCCCTCCTGTCTGCGTGCCGTTCAGAACTTGCTGTGTCCTAGACGACACGCTCACCCTAAGACTCCCTGCTTCCTGGGCCTCCCGGGAAGCCTTCTACGGTGACTCACACCCGTGAAAACATGAGGCTGCCCTGAGCAAGGACCCGACCTTGCTGGCTTCTGCTGAACTTCCGTGACATTGCAGGTATCAGCCCCCAACAGCCCCCAGGGAGAAATCCAGACCAGAACGGACCAAAGAGTGTTGGGTCTGCATGCCCTTTGACCTTACTAAAGGCAATTCAGAGCAGCATGAGCAGGGACAGGTGGCTCCGAGGTGCGCCCTCCCACGTCCTGGTGGGTGGCCTTGCATCTTCAGAACAATGCACGCTCCGCTCCCACCTGGGGAGGGCGAATGGAGCACAGCGCATATGCACATGCTCAGCTCGGTGCAGCCCCCAGGACGCTGGCTGGCTAGGAAGGGGAGCTCTGTGGGATGGCGGTGCCCGGTGGAGGGAGCCCAGGAAGGACAGGCCGAGTAGCCGGGAGGCCCTGCTCACCTCACTGTCCACCACCCCGTTCCTGTCCCGATGGGGAGACTCGTACGCGTCCATCTGCTGCCTGGAGACCTTGGCCAGCTTTTCCGCCAGCTCCCGCCAGCGTTGTGCCACCTCGACAGCCGTGGTCAGGAGCACGAAGTCCTGGATGAGCCTGACCACCAGGCCCTGGCAGTCCATTTTCAGCAAGGCCTGAGGAGGGAGGGACACGGCATGAGGCAGAGCACGGCCGCGCAGGCTTCGGGGAACCCCAGCCCTGGATGGTGCCGAGCGCGTGGGCACCCCACCCTGCCAGTTCATAGCCCGTGAATGTCCCCTGGACTCCACAGGCAGGCCGGGGCTCACAAGAGGGAAGAGAGGGCTTGCAGGGTGCACTGGGTTGAACAGCACCCCCTGCCCAGACCCCAAACACACCAAATCCCTGTCCACTCAGAGTCTGGGATTGTGACCTTATTTGGGAACAGGGTCTTTGGGGAGGGTGCAGTGCAGGATAAGGATGGCCGGTGTCTTTGTAGAGAGAAGACAGAGGCAGAGAGAAGGCATGTGCGGCGGAGGCAGTCTGACACCCACGCCACAGCAAGGGCTGCCCGGCCCGCCAGGGGCCACGAGAGGCCTGGGGCACATTCTCCCCGAGTGTCCAGGGGAACCAACTCTGGTGACCTCGACTGTGGATTGTGCCTCCGGAATGAGGAGTAAGTCCCACTGTGGGCAGCTCCCCAGTGGTCAGGTCCTGGCAGCCCTGGGTGAACACGGACAGCTGCTCAGCTCCCCCAGTCTCTCTCCCACTGGGGAAACGGAGAGATGATGCCCCTTGCCAGGACGGACCACACGCTGGAGGCTTTCAGGAGGGTGGGCACCAGTGGGCAGAGATGGGGATGCCGGGCTCAGGTGTGGTCCCAGGCAGGGGCCTGGGAATCTGACGGGGCCACCAGGGATGATAGAGGAAGAGGCCAGGCAAGAAAGGGTGTCCACCAGGAACCCCACTGGTCAGATGGGAAGGGTGACGGGGTGGTCCTCCCGGGACTGTGAAACAACGGGAAATGCTTCCCCGGGTCAAGAGGACTGCTCCCTTGTCAAGGCGCAAGAAGGTTCCAGGCCCGGCCCTCTGCAAGCCACATCGGAGTTCAGTTCCCACCCAGACACAGGGGCCGGCAGGACAGGCTCTGGACATAGGTGCGCTGACCTGACCTACCTGGGGGAAGGATGACGCCGGTCTGGGACTAACACTCCTGGGTAAAAGTGAGGCAGCTGGCCCACGCGCCTGGCTGCCTGTTGGCACACTGCGAGAAACCGCACCCTAAGCCCTGGTGTGGCTCTGGGCTGATTTGGTAACCAATGAGGCCTCACCTGGTTGTGTGGAGCTCTGAGCTAGGCAGGGCGGCACGCCCCCGGAGGCAGGAGGCGCAGCGGGGCTCACATTCCCCGACCACCCTAGGCCACAGTAGGGCACAGCCCTTGCTCTCTGCCAGCCAGGGTGCTCGGATGACGCCCCAATGAGGGGGGAAACGCTCAGCTTCCTGAGAGGAGTGCGCCCACAGGCACCCCTACAGGGTCTCCGAGACTCCGTCGGATGCTTGGGGTAGCGAGGACAAAACCAAAGAGTCACTGAGAGCAGAAGAGGCCAGGAGCCGGCATTCTTGCTGTCTACACTGCTCCAGCCCGAGGCTGCCATCTGAGGGTGCTGAAGAGAGCCACACAAAAGCACTAAAGAAACAGCCCTCCCGGGGCCTGGGCAGACCCTGGCCGGGCAGCCTGGGCAGCCCCCGCCCTCCTCAGTCAGGCCCTGGCTGCTCCCGCTTGGGCAGGTGCGTGGCTGTCTCCCGTGCGAGTTTCCTGCTCACTGGGGGACCCTACTGTCAGCAACGCTGGGATTTCGGGTGACTTGCTCTGAGCAGTAACGGGGGTGGTGACCCCGACTCCTTCCTGCTGCACCTCGACCTCTGCAACAGAAAGAAGCTGGCAGGGGGTGCAAGAACCACATGGGCCTTTCGTTTTCTCAGGAGCTACTGTGAACCGACTTCACCTGCCAGGCCCCGGGCTCACCCACTCCTCGGAACCCCTACGAAGGAGGGGCAGTTCACCCCTCTGTACAGATGAAGGAGAGAGGGGAGAAGGGGTGTCTACACCTGTGAAGTCAGGGCTGGATCCACCCCAGGCAGCCGATCTCAGACCCCTACCTGGCGCGTGAGCAGAGAAGTGTCTGTTTTAAGCGGGATGTGTGTGTGTGTGTGTGCGCGCGTGCGTGTGTGCGTGCGTGTGTGTGTGCCTGGGGAGTGTCCCACCCTGGCAAGGGCAGAGATGCAGTTAGACCCAAGTCTCCTGGAGCTCGGGCCAACCACCTCTGGAACTCTGTGAACACCTCGTGACAACTGGAATGGAGCCAGACAGAGCGCTGGCCCGGACGCGCTGCATGTCAGCCCTTTACTCAGGAAATGGCTAGTGTCACCTCCAGTTCCGATCTGTGCCAAAGAAACGAAAAAAACTCCAAGTGTTTACTAGATGAGGTCTGAAGGAAAGCGTGCCTGTGTGTGCGTCCCCGCGTACAGGGAGGGACATGGGATGAGCGGGCTCGGATTTCAATCTGTTTGCAGGGCAGGGAGCTCTGGGCGCTTGGAGGCAGGACGGGGCCCGAGCCACATCTGGCCTCCTGGGAAGCAGTGGTGGATGACAAAGGGTTTGCCCCCGCGTCACATGATGCTCCAAGTCGGCTCTGCCCAAGCTTGCCCACACCCCACACACAAACGGCCCACACACACACGGCCGTGTGCTCAGCTGCTGGCTCCCAGGCGGCCTCAGGTCCAGGGAACGGAGCCTGTCCGAGTCACCTGCTTCTGAGGCAGGTCAGTCCTGGCCGGGGCCTCCAGGCTGCTCTCTCCCAGAGGCTCTGGGCACGGACACAAAGGCCTTCCGAAACCTGAGCCGCTCCATGCCCTGCTGGGAAGGAGGGCATCTGGCCCTGCCCAGGGGCACCCGGGCCTCACTTGCCCAGGTCAGAGGTGAACAGAGAGGCCGACCCTTCTGAAGACAGGGGGAAGGCGCCTTCATTCTCTCACTGCGCCTGCTGAGCCCGCCTGGCTCTGTCTGCGAGCACGGTGCCCACGCCAACATTCTAAAAGGCCATTTGGGGTGCCCGCCAGATCTCAAGGGACGCATTCCCTGCAGCGGGCTCTCGCCCCGGGAACCTGTACCTGTAGCACACGCTTTCATTCAGCACACACACAGGTGCATGCGGAGTGCCAGGAAGGGCCCGGTGACATCACGCACCGAGCTGAGCCACTGGCGGTTCCCTGACCCGAGTGAACAGTGAGGAGTGAGCTGCCCCTTCGGAGGTCACAGTCTCTCTCGTGAACAGCCTCAGGCAGCAGAGGGCCGCCTGGAAGGGTCCCTGGGGAACCTGCCCCCACCTGAGGGCGAGCTGGGCTTCTCCAACTCGCAGGGACTGTGCGCTGTCCTCGCCAGCCCCCAGTGTCACCTGTTCCCCGCGACCCCTACCCCCATGAGCTGGCTTTCTTCTTTATTTTTTAAAAGAATTATTTATTTTCATTGATTATTATTATAATTTTTACAAATTTGACCAGAAAGAGAAAGGGAAAGTGAGGAAGCACGCTGCCAGGTCTGGGACTAGAACCACGGTCGGCCACGTGGGAGTCCAGCACCTTAACCATCTGCCCTCTACTGCCCCTACCTCCCCTTGATTTTCAACCTGCAGTAACATGACGCCCGCATAGAAGGGACTTCAGGAAGGCCTGTGGAAAAGTGAAATTAAAATGCAAGTTTATTTTGGTACAAAAAAAAAAGCTGAAATCCATGCATATTTTTCTTTCATAGGGCGCATTTCCCACAAGCATTTTAAAGACCCTGTATCCTTACCACCCTCCCCGCTGGACCTAAGCTACCCTCACCATGGCCAGACCCGACATTCTTGTGCAAGTTCCAGGATGGACTGTGGCAGCTGGCCAAGGCTTTTAGGAAATTCTCCTCTGGGCTCTTGTGCCTCCATAGGCTGTTCCTGTGCATCTCTAACGGCCCCTTCCACCTCTCACCTCCTGCTGTATCCCCGCCCTCCTCACCCTGGGTCCTCGGTCCTGTTCATGATGGTGTTGCGGAAATCAGAATAGTCCATTGTATCAAAGCATATTGTTGAATGAAGACATTTACTGTCTTTTTTCCCCCAGATTTTTGCTATAGGCCATGTGTGCTAGCCAGAGACGAAGACATGGAAAGTGAGACATCCCCCAAGCCCTGGGATATTCGGGCACACACGCACACATGTGCGTCTCAAGCCTTCAGGTCCTGGACTCCAACCACAATCAACCACGCCTGAGTCCAGCGCCTGAACTCCACCTGCTGGGCCCCAACATCCACACTTCCTGTAAAACTGGGTTGGCTACAGCTCGAATCCTGGCCCCTGGCAGCTCGAGGCACACGCCAGGCAGGTGTGCATGCCCCAAGTCCTGGCTGGAGGGGGATGGGGATGCGGAGAAGCAGCACCACGGTGTGACCATGCCCAGTTGGTCAGTGCGCCACTCTAACAAAAACCACAGGGCTGGGCTCCTCGGGGCTCAGCGCACCACCCTCCAGATATACACCCCCTCTCTCACAAGGGCGGCCGCCCAACCCACCCAGGTGGGCACACAGGTGAGCCCCCCATTCCTCGTGCCGTCTCCTAATTCCAGGGCAGACGTGCCCACAGAACGCCCTCGGGCAGCCCTCTAAGGCCCACGGTACATGTGAAGGGGCATTAAAGGGCTTCCATGCACCAAGAACGGGGAACATACTCTGCTGTTTCTTTATTAAACTAAAACAAAATCCCTGCCATGAAACCTCAGGTTTATGAATGTGAGGAGGTGTCACCCGCTCCCGTGACTGCAGCCTGGGCCGGCTGGTGTCCCAACTCCAACCACGAGGCCGGTGAAGGGCTACCTCCTGCCCCTGCAGAACAGGTCTGAGGCCCGATGGAGGCGAAGGGTCAGGGACCTGCACAGGCTGTGAGGCCTCCTGGCCTCTGCCCTGGACTGACCATGCCACAGGCTGAAGACAAACAGCTGCTTGGTGCTAAGCAGGAGCAGCAGGGCCCTGTCCAGGAATGGGAACGCTTGGGAGCCCTGCTCTTCCAGGCCCCACCAATGTCCACGTTGGTGGGTACACACCAGGCTGGGCATGCACCACGCCAACTCTCACTACTTCCTCCCAGACACCCGAGCCTCCCCACGCCACGCCACACCTGCAGACGGTACTGCCCCACCCCACCCACGCTCCACCCCTCCAGCCCCTTGCCCTGCACGGTCACTGCAGCCCCAGATCTCAGCCTCTCCCATGCCCGGGCTGTGCCCTCCCTCACCAGCCAGGCATCCCTGTCGGGGGGCCCTGCAGGCAGCAGTACCTGCCTGTCCACCTTCCCACGGAGAGACAAAGTGAGAAGTCACCCCCTAGTGAGGATGGCCACCCCACAGCCTCCCATTCTCCTTTTGGGATTTTGCACGCACATGTCCCTGAGTATTTTCCAAGCTGTCAGGTCTGGGACTTGAACCACATCATCAGCCACGTGGGATCCAGCTGCCTTAACCACCAAGCCACCTGGCTGGCCTCCCAGGACTCAGGAGCCATGTAACAGGGACAAAGTGCAACACCCACTCTCGCCCTGTCTGGGGCTCTTCCTGGTTCTAGGACAGAGCTGGGACCCTTTGCACAGCTAGCTCTCCCACTCTGGCCTCAGGGCTTCACCTGAAGAGCTCTTCAACCAGGTGGCACCTGCCTCAGTGCCCCCCCCCCGCCCCATGAGTCCCATCTCAGCGAAGACCCCAGTGGTTCCCTCCACGACCTCTAGGGCCCAGGACGCTCCAGGGCTGCACCCATCTGCTATTCCCCGGCCAGCACCAGGCACACCTGGGCACTCAAAGCAGCCCAGGACCGTCCCCGTCCCTGGCTGCCAACATGGCCTAGGGCATCGTCACAGGTCACCATTCTCAGCCAACATGGGCAGTCAAGGCTTCTGATGGTGTTGGGGACCTGGGACAGAGGGCATCCTGTCCTCTGAGGGCATGGAAATGTGGGGAGAAGGCAGAGTCACCCGGGAAGCCCGTGTGGTCGGGCAGAGCCTCTCACGCAGCTCTAATATAGAAAGGGGGCGTGGGCACCACAGAAAGGGGGACGGGGCGGAGACCGGAGCTTCCAGACCACGCAGGCAGCAGGCTCGCTGCTGGGTCCAGGCCTCTCACTCCTCCATCCATCACTCACTCCCGAGTAGCCGAGAGCTCCCCACGTGCCAGGGCTTTCCCTTGTGGAACGACAGCAAGACCACAGCACACGAGCAGCTGTTCGGACAGGGGAAGCACGGCGAGGGCCCAGCGGGATGGCGAGGGGCACAGCAGCCACTCCACCGAGGGCTGCGGGTGGGACTGGCTAGACAACACGAGAGCCAGCACTGAGAGGGGCAGATGGCCTGTGAGGTGGGAGAAGGGTGCTCCAGCAGAGGCGAGGCAGGCAGGCCGGTGTGTTCGAGGGACAGAGCAAAGGTGGTCAGGGCTGCGGCGGTGAGCTGGGCAGCGGGGGGAACTGGGCCCACGGCGGAAGATGAGCAGCCAGGACCGACTCCTCCGACATCCCTGAGAGTTCACTGTCCCGACTTTTGCCCTTTCTAGCTCCTCACGGTTTCCAAACCCAGGAGTCCAATCTGGACAGAGCGATTTTTTTAAAAGAATTATTTATCTATTATTTATCTATTTTATTTATTTTCTATTACCACTATTATTGTTTAATTTGACCAGAAAGAGAGAGAAAGAGACAGAGAAAATGAGAAAGCAAGCCAGCAGGTCTGAGACTGAAACCGTGGTCAGTCACGCGGGAAGCCAGCACCTTCACCACGCCACCTGCTGTCCCCCAGAGAAGGATCTCAAAAAGGAAAATGGGGGCACTGGTGGGGGAGAAAGGTGGTCTGGCTGTGACACGGTGGGGAGGGCAGGGCCCTGCTGCAGAAACATCTCTACCACGGACCCCAAGGCCAGAGATGGAGCACCTGGCCCCTGCTGGTCCTTGAGCACGCTGGGACAAATCCATCTGTGGATTGTGGACCTCTGACCTGCCATTCCAGGGTGCCAGCTCACAAGGAGACGGCCGGCATGGGAGGGGTGGGGCACTGCAGAGCCAGCTTTACTTTATGTCCACAAAATCAACCTTGCTCGGGAGCGTTCTGGTGTGTTTCCTCCTTGCTAGGGGGAGGGGAGGAGAGGGAGAAAGAGGCGCGAAGACCCCACCCTGCACACCCCGACCCAACGAAGCCAACCGAAGAGCCTCTCCCAGGGAATGTTGGCCGAGATGAGTAAAGAGATTTTAATCACTTAAATCTTTAAAAAATGAGGAGAAATGAATATTAAAAGCCACCTCCTCAGAGAATGGACAAGGAATTGCAGCAAAACCTGAAACAGAAACACCTCCCTCTGTCATGGTTTTTCCGTGGCGTTGGGTTTCCCACCTCCACTCCCTCCAGGTGGGTGTTTCAGCTCAGCCGCAGGAAGGGACATCAGTACAGATTATGGCCTGTGAAAACACGCGATCCATAACCAATGCTCGGGGCCAGGTAAGGGCTGCCGGAGGGAAGCACCCCTGCCTGCCGAGTCGCGTTCATCCACGGAGGGGACAGGCCACGTGGCCTGGGCACCAGCTCCCAGGATGCACCTTGCAGGTGGGCCATGAGGTGTGCCCTGAGCTCACGTGGGCGAGGGTGAGAGCATCACAGTGAGAGGGCCATGTGGGGGCTGGGAGGGCGCCGCTGCCTTCCGTTCGCTCCCCACGGAAACTGCCACCACCACGGCCCCCGTGCCCCCCGCCCCTCTTCCCAGCCACTTCTAGTCCCGCAACCCTCCATGGACAATCTTGGGTTGTCCTTGTTCCATGCTTCTGGCACTTTCTACCACCGTGGGCCACCGTCCAAGGGTGTTTTCCCTGCCCCACCCCTACCAGACAGCACGTGCACCTGCAGGTGGATGCCGGGCCAGGACTCACCCTGTCTCCTCCCTGGGGCAGCCGATGGCGTGTGTGACATGCACCCCTGTGTGGCGCACAAGGGCACGCCCAGCTCATCTGCAGAGACGCGCATGCGCCTAATAGCAGGTGTTGGCTGGGAGGGGGAGACGTGGCAGGACGGCCACCGCGAGTCACATCTACAGGGTGGGGAGGTGAGGAGGGCTGCCTCGAGTTGTCGGAATGAGGAAGAGAAGGAAAGAAAGTCGTGGGCTTCCCCACGGACAACCAGGACCTATGGCGAGGACGGAGCCGAACAAAGTTGCTGG